TTGCAAGTCTGACTGTATGACATGAAAGATGAAGAAGCTGTCACCTATATGATGACAGGCCTCTATTACACTGAAGTCAAGAACTGGCTGAATTATCTAGAGAATGATCATGAGAGATTCTGATAATCTATTCTCAAGATCTATCTAGAGAATAAGTTGAGAGACTCTGTGAGCTGGACAGAGAACACCTGAACTGTGATCATCAATATTAGGAAAAGAGGTGAGAAATCTGATGAAGACTACTCATAATGCTTCATGAAATTATGATGTGAATTGAGACCTGTGAAAACAGGATCCTGGAACAAGATCTGAATAATGATATTCATGAAGAGACTGAATAAAGACATGCAGAACAAGCTCATTGAGTAAGACTCTAAGTTCTTGACTCTGAAGAAACTGATGACTCTCATTCATTGCTTACAGATCACTGTGAGAGTCACAGACCTGTGAAGAGCAGATTATCAATTAGCTCTGTAAGAGTCAGGACAATAGAGAACAGGTTTGTCAGAAAAAGATGATAAGACACAGAGAGATTTGTGTCTGACTGCTGAGTAGAGAGAGAGAGCTTTACAAGCTTCTGTGAACAGAGTGCATAATAGAGAGATCAAGAAAAAGAGACTCTGCTTCATCTGTTCTAAATCAGAATATCTCTGCACAAACTGTCTGAACAAATCAAAATAGGAATTTGAGAAGTCATGAACAGAGTCAGCAACAGTCTTCTTAAGAGTCTTGAAGCTGACACCTGAATCTGTTGCTCTCTCAATGAAAATGCTTACTCACAGAGAGAGATCACACTGCAGTACTGCTGCTCTGCAAGTATGAAAAGCATTGATAGACTCAGAATCCCAGATCACTGTGATGTCTCTAAAGCTCATAAAGTGAATGAGTTAAAAGGTGAAGACTGAGAACCTGCTTCTGCAATAAGCAGAGTGTGAGAACTCAGATCTGAGAGCTAAGAGACTTACAAGAGTCATCTTTGAATTGCAAGATCTCTCTGAAATCTGGAGAAGATTTGTAGAAACTATAATTATCACAGACATCACAGATGATATGTATTTGAGACTTGTATAACTTCAAAGACACAATCTGCATATAGCTGTCTATGAGTCAGGTTTATACTTCTGATCAGTGTTAACAGACTCACTCATGAAGATAGAAGCAGTTGATACTGCAGAGTTGATTAAAGAAGACAAGCTTATCTATGTAATAACTTTGTAAGTGTCTGAGAATCTCACAGTTATGAAAACTGAGCTTCAGATATCAGAGAAATATCAAGATCTTACAGAGATGTTTAGCTCAGCTAAGACAGCTGAGCTTTCTTCTCACTGTGAGAAGAATCTGATAATAGATTTAATAGAAGAGCAGAAACCCTTCTGAGAATCAATCTATAAGCTCTCTTATCATGAGACAGAGGCCTTGCAGACCTATGTGAAGAAGAATCTGAAGAATGACTTTATCTGATCTTCACAGGCCTTTGCAGGAGTCTCTGTGATGTTTGTGAAGAAGAAGAATAAAGATCTCAGATTGTGTGTAAACTACTGTGACCTGAACTTCAAGACAATAAAGAGCTGTTATTCTCTGTCTCTGATTGAGAATGTGATCAACTGTCTCACAGAAGCTGTCATATTCATACAACTGAATATAATCAATGTATATACACAGCTGTGAATACAGTCTGAGAATGAATGAAAGACTGTCTTTAGAACTGCACTGGAATTGTTTGAATATTTAGTGATGTCTTTTGATCTGACTAATATTCTCACAGCATTCCAGTCTTTCATTAATAAAATACTTTGTGCATATCTGAATGTCTTCATGATAATATATCTGAATAATGTGATGATGTACTTCATGAAGAAGGAAGAACACACTGAGTATATATAAAGTGTGTTGAAGATCTTAGATGAGACAGAACTGTATATTAAGCTTATGAAGTGCAACTTCAGTGCTCATCAGATTAATTTCCTAGAATATGTAATCACTGCAGATGATATTCAGATGAAATCTTTGTAAGTTGAGACTATTCTATTATAACTGAAGTCAACTAGTATTCATGAGATTCAGATCTTTCTGAGCTTTGTGAATTTCTATAGATGATTTATCTTTGTATTCATGAGAATCTCCTTGACTCTTACAGACATGCTGAAGAGTGAAAATAAGAAGAAGTTATTCTGTGAACAGAGAATGAAAAGATTATTAAGAAGAGAGAACTGTGAGAACTTTCTTATTTCAGAAGCTTATGAGGCCTTTACAAGGTTGAAACAGACATTCATGAATGCAGTGATACTGTTTCACTTTGATCTCTTACTCTTAATCAGATTGAAGACAGATGTCTTCTTCTTTGCAATTTCAGAAATAGTCTCATAACTACAGTTAAATGAGAACTGAGTTTCAGTGATCTTTTTCTCATGAAAGATGCAACTCACAGAGATCAACTATGACATTCATAATCAGAAGCTTCTTATGATAGTGAAATTCTTCTGTCACTAGTATCACTACTTCAAGAACCTTGCAATAGTGATTACTGTTAGAACTGATTATGACAGCTTATAACAGTTTACTTCAATTAAGAAACTCTTGCAGTGATAGATTCACTGAGCTCAGAGACTGAGTGAGTTCTGATTCAAGATAGAATATATCAAGAGAACTAAGAACTCAGCAGATGAATTCTCTCACAGGCCAGACTATATTAAGAAGACCAGGATGACAGATACAGAGAGACTAGAGAAGACAGAAAAGCTTCACAGAATGCTCAGACTGAGTGTTATGAAGAGATTGACTGAAGAGTCTCTCAATTCTCTATGAGAGAAGAGAGAGAAGAAAGAGAAGAAGTCTGTGCAACTACTCTCTGTGATACTGAGAGTCAACACTCTGAGAATCTCTGTGAGAATTCTTGAAGAGAGTATCTATAATCTGAAGAATTTGCAGGCTTTGAGAAGTGCTGTGAAAGACCTAATGTAAGAGAAAACAGAGTATAAGTCTTTGCAAGATCTTCTATTCAGATTGTCTGAACTGCAACTGAAGAATGAATATGCTCAGTATATTCAGAAACTGCTTATGATAGAGATTAACTCTGCAGAAATAAAGAATTGAAGAGACTTAAATGACCTCTTATAAAGAGAGGGTTGAATTTATATGTCTGTGAATGAGTTTCTATGTATAGAACTTATTAAAAGGCATCATGACTCTTCTCTAGCAGGTCATTTTGCAGATACTAGAACTCATGAGTTACTTATAAGAAAATACTTCTGACTGAAGATGTAAGAACTTGTGAAGAAGATAGTGAATTCTTATACTGTTTATCAGAATTTACAGATAGTGCAGTTCAGATCATATGAAGAACTTGCTTCTCTACTTATCTCATGAGAACCTTGAGAACAGCTAGGAATGAATACTCTTATAAGCCTCTCTGAAAGCAAGGACATATATGATGCCTGTTTTGACAGTGTGCTGATGATAGTGAATTGCTTTATCAAGATAGCACACTTTATATTCATCTGCAAGGACTTGAAGTCAAAGAATTTGACTCACATCTTCATCTGCAATGTGATTCAGTTGCATGAGTTATCTGTGAACATTGTCTCAGATAGAGAATCAATCTTTGCAGAAGAGTTCTGATCTGATCTGATAACTATACTGAAGATCTTGTGAGATCTAAGCACAGCTTTTCATCAACAGACAGATGATCAGACAGAACATCTGATGAGTATATTGAAACAGTATCTGTAATACTTTGTCAATTACAATCAGAATGACTGAATACATTGATTATCACTCACAGAGTTCATATACAACAACTCAAAGCATGTCAGTACAGATAAAACTCTCTTTGAGATGCTCACTGAGACTCATCTGCAGATGATCTTGATGAACCCGCGAGAGTATACTATAGAGTGTGGTAATGTCTGTGAATGAGCTGAGAGAATTCAGAAGATCTGAGAGAAAGTCTGTGAATTCTTGAGAAAGGCTCAAGAGTATCAGAAGAGATACTATAACTTCAAGTATATTATAAAGAGTTTCAAGAAAGATGATAGAGTCTGACTGAGTCTAGAAAACATCATTATATAGAGATCTAGTAAGAAGCTGAATCTCTTGCAGACAGAGCCTTGTAAGATTATAAAGAAAGTTAGCTTGCAGTTCTACAGATTAAAACTATCATCTAAGTTGCAGATATACAATGTTTTTCATGTCTCTTTGCTCTGTGAATATAAGAAATTCTCAGAAGAGAACTCTGTGACTCATCACTCTGTCTGTGAAGCACTAGAGAGTGAAAGAGAATATCAGATTAAAGAGATTATTGACTCAGAGAAGTGAGATTGTAAGCTCTGATTCAAGGTTCAGTGACAAGAATATTCTGACAAGATGAATAAGTTCACTTGAGAATCATCTGAGCAGATAAGACATCTGCAGAAGCTGAAACATGACTTTCATACTATAAATTCTGACAAGTCAGAATGATATAATCTTTACTAAGAACTTGATTATAATAAAGACATTAACACTGTCATTTGCAAATTCTAGTCTATAAGATAATGAGTTTCTACTGAGATGAACAGTCTGCAGTGTACACAAGAGAAGAAGAAAACATGTTCTTATTAAAGCTAAAAAACAAGAAAATAAACAGGGTCATAAATGCAATTTAGAGATTAATAAAGAAAAAATAAAGAAAATTCACACTCATATTATCAACATCTGTAACACTCAACTCTCTCATAACTATCAATTTCTCTCTTCAAAGAAGCAGAGAGTATCATGTCTGTGATACAGATAATTATTGTATTTGATGTGAAGACTGTCAGAAATGCACAGACTTCAGAGAAGTCAGATATCAGAGCATGCACAGTTGCAGCAGAATCTTGAAGACTGATCATCTGCACATGTGATCAGATATCTCTTACAAAGCTGTGTTCACTCTTTCAGTTGTACTGAAGTATTCAGCTCAGAAATAATGAAGATATAGAGAGAGAGCTTATCTGTTCAGATCAACTTCTGTTATAAATTTATGACATTTGCATTGCCTTGATTACCTGGATTTTGCAGGTACCTGGGGACTCATCTCTCATTGACAATGAGATTGTGGAAATGCACTGTGGTGTGAGGACCATTGATAGAGAACCTAGGCATATTTGCATATGCCTGGTCAGAGATTGTGCAGACAGAAAGAAGATGATCATAGGTCTGTGAGACTGCAGAAGACACTGACAACATCAGAAGCTTTGTAAGAACTGTCAGCTAGAGTCTGTAAGAAATTACTTGTAAGAAGACTTACAGTAAAGAGAGGAACTGCACTGCTTGAAGTCAGAGACTGGTCTGAGAAAGGCAGAGAGTTGATCACTGGTCTGAAGATCAGGTGCAGTGGCAGGGCTGAGAGAGATGAAGATGCGGTTATAGACAGCAGTACCCCTGCTTCATCAGCTGATAAAAAGTGATCAGAGAAGTTATAGAGATGTCTATAAGAAGCTTGATAATGATCAGACATTGTTTGCAAAGAGATTGAAATTGAAAAAATTTTTTATTCTTGAGAAGTTCTTGAATCAATATACAGACACTGTCAGAAACACTCTCTCTCTGTCATCTAGATAAAAACACTTCACAGATGAATGAGAATACTCACAGTTTATAAGAATGAGAGCTGTTATAGAAAAAGAGAAAAGAAGATGAGATTTCACAGACAGATCTGAGATATTTATACTACTCTAGAGAGATTTACTTACACTGTGAGTGATTCTGTGAAACAGTCAGATCACTCTAGTAAATAAGAGTGATTGTGAATCACAGGCCTGAATCTTTCTATGTGACTATAAAGAGTGATTGCAGACTGTGAATATCTTGATTCTACAATTCTACAGAGTTGATAAAAGAATGAAAAATTCCTCACAATTCTACAGTGTCAAAGAGCAATGATTTGTGAGAATGAATAAAAGATTAACTCACAAATGTTTCTCTTTGATAAGAGTGATCTCACAGAGAGTGATTCATCTGTGAGATGAATCTGTGTGATGATCACACAAGAATCTCATGAAAATGATTGAGAGTCAACTGAAACTCTTCTGTATGAAAGATGTGAGATGAATCTGTGTGATAGTCAGAGAAGAATCTGTAGATCACAAAGAATCTCATAAAATAAGAAACTGAGTGACAGACTCTTTTCTCTTTGTGATAACAAGGGATTTTTTCTCACTGAGATTTTTTATAGATGTAAAGAGTTTTTAGTGAGTATCACTGCAGTGCTGAGCTGACTATGAAGTCACTCAGTGAAAGGCTTCACAGATGAAGTCTTAGAGAGGAAGAAGTATGTAAGAAATCTCACTTCTCACAGATTCTTTACCTCTATTCCTATCTCTTATGTAATTAATAGGGCTAGCGGCCCTTGGTTACATACAATTATATAGACTGGAGTTCGCGAATACTATTCATAACTCAGCTTAAATGCTATTATATATTTGATCTCTACATTTTATCTTTCTACCATGAATACTTCTAGTAGTTAACAGTACATATCACGCCAAGCTGCAAACACCTGAATAATCGCCTGCGAGCACTTATTCTTACACTTATAAACAGCTATGTGTAGATTGTGTTTTTAAAGTTATACAAGTCTTAAGTACATATTATCTATAATATCTGTGATAATTACAGTTTTCACAAATCTTCTTCAGATTTCAGAGAGATCTTGTAATTCAAAGATAACTCTTATAAGTCTCTCAGCTCTCAGATCTGAGTTCTCACACTCTACTTGTTATAAGAGCAGATTTCCAGTTTTCATCTTTCAGCTTATTTATTTCATGAGCTTTAGAGACATTACAGTGACCTGGAATTCTGAGTTTATTAATACTTCTCATGCTTGTGAGACAGCAGTACTGTGATATAATCTCTTCTCATAAGTAAGCATTTTTATCAAGAGAGTAACAGATTCAGATATCAGCTTCAAGACTCTTAAGAAGACTGTTACTAACTCTGTCTATGACTTCTTAAATTTCTATTTTAATTTATCTGAACAGTTTGTGTGAAGATGTTCTGATTTAGAATAGATAAAGAAGAGTCTCTTTTTCTTAATCTCTCTATTATATACTCTATTTATAGAAGCTTGTAAAGCTCTCTCTCTCTACTCAGTAGTCAGATATGAATCTCTCTATATCTTGTTATCTTTTTCTAATAAATCTGTTCTCTGTTATTCTAGCTCTTACAGAACTGATCAGTGATCTGCTCTTTACAGATCTGTGACTCTTACAGTGATTTATAAGTAATGAATGAGAGTTATCAGTTTCTTCAGAGCTAAGAACTTAAAGTCTTACTTAATAAGCTTATTCTGCATGTCTTTATTCAGTCTCTTTATAAATATTATTATTCAGATCTTGTTTCAGAGCTCTGTTTCTACAGATCTCAATTTATATTATAATTTCATGAAGTGCTGTGAGTAGTCTTTATCAGATTTCTCATCTCTTTTTCTAATATTAATAATTGTAGTTCAGATATTCTCTATTCAGCTTATGAAGTTTCTCAACTTATTCTCTAGATAGATCTTAAGAACAGATCAGTAGAATCTCTTATAATCATTCTCTAGATAATTCAGCCAGTTCTTGACTTCAGTGTAATAGAGATCTGTCATTATATAGATAACAGCTTCTTCATCTTTCATATTACATAGTCAGGCTTGTGAGTCAATTTCAAATGCAAACTTATAAAAGCTTTTATAGATTATAATTCAATAAGTAATCTTAAGTGATCACAGCTTAAGAAAGTTTCTTTTTAATTTACAGATATCTCTGAAGATTATGTCTAGAGACTCAGTGCAAGAGTGTTTATAAATAGTAAGTATTTCTTATAGAAAAATAGCTTAATTCTGTAGAAGATACTCAAGAATGTTCTTCACTAAGATTGATTTATTCATGAGTTTAAAGAGTTTCTCTATCACAGATATAGAGAATGATATTCTATAAGTAATTGATAAGTTCTCTGAGACTTCTTTTACATAAATTACTCATGATTCAGATAACTGCTTCTGAGTGTCTGCAGTAGAGTTCACAGAGATTAAAGTATATAAGTTTCTAATTCTTTCAGTTATAATAAGTGATTACTGACTGACTGAGCTTGAAATGTAAGAATAAGTGCTTACAGATGATTATTCAGATGTTTGCAGCTTAATATAATATATACTGTTAACTACTAGAAGTATTCACAGTAGAAAGATAAAATATAGAAATTAAATATATAATAGCATTCAAGCTGAGTTATGAATAGTATTCGCGAATTCCAGTCTATATAGTTATATATAGCCAAGGGCCGCTAGCTCTATTGATTACATGAGAGATAGGAATAGAGGTAAAGAATCCGCGAGAAGCGGGATTTCTTACAAAATCATGTGCTAAAACTTCTATGAGCACTATATGAATTATACAGATCATCTCTTCTCTGGTTAAATAAACTATCTTTAACATTGAGAACATCAGACTTCATCTTTATATCAGAGAATTGATATCTCTTCTCTAATAATTAATTAATCATCTTCTTCTATATGAATAATATTGTCATTCTATCATAATGAGAAGATTCAAAAGAAAGAGATTAACTAATCAAAGATTTTAAAAACATCTATAAGATTCATTAGATGAGAGATTTGAAATGATTTCTTAACATGTAAATAATACACAATCACTCTAACTTAAAGCTCTGACTATGCTAGAATATCTATATTGATAAGATAGTTAATACATATCATCTCACACACACCTGCAAGGTATATACCTCACTAACTAATGCTCTGTTAGAGCCTTTTAACAAGTTAGCTACATCTGTAAAAATTTATTATTATCAATAATATATCAGCTTCTGCATCTATTCAGTGATAATGACTTACTCTGATATCATATATACAGTGAATAAACTAGCTATGTTCATAATGAATTCATCAGAACATCACTTATTAGAGATGAATAGAATGATATCTTATCTATATAATATAAAGAATCTCACTATTCAATATAATGATAATATTGATAGATCTCTACAAATTGATCTCAAATCTGATATTATTAAAGCTGTCAGTGATGTCTCTTTTACAGATAATCTGAATTACTGCTTTATATAAGAATATATCTTCAAACTATTCAGTGAGACTGTTGATTGAAAATTAAATAGACAGACAATTATAATTACATCTATCACAGAAGCTGAGCTTGTAGCTATTTTACAAGTTAATAAGAAGTCTATCTGATGAGAAAGATTCTTTCAACATATTCAATTTAAATCTGGTCATAAGATCTGTATTTAATGTAATAACTGTCAAACTGTTGACATTCTTAGAAAGAAAGATTTCTCTATAATCATGAAGCTCTGCCACATTGATATATATGAAAGCTGACTCTGAGAACATGTTCAATTCAGTGATATTACAGTTGATTGAGTGTCTATAGCTCAGATGCTAGCGGATGGCCTTACTAAGGCTCTGTCACATCAGAAATATACAGAATTTGTCAAGATACTAGGCCTAGTTGATATATCAGATATCATCAAGGTGTAAGCAGAATGATGATATAAATGACCTATCTTGATATAATCTCTACAGATTCATCTACACTCTTTTTGTTGCAGCTTCATTTACACTTTCATTTACATGTTACATTCACTGAAGGGGGTGTATCAGAAAAAAGAGGTTATACACTATTGAATGCCATCAACATCATATTACTACAATATTTCTCATCATCATCAGCTTACTACAACACTCATCTAATACTTGCTTATGCTAGCTCTCTTGGCTCACACATATATTTTACTATAAATAGCTCCATCTTTTGTATGAAATAGATATATTAGATAGTGTACAGATAATATAACAAGCAGATCTTGATACAAATAAGATTCATATGTCTTCAACATATTCATCCGTGACACCCAATCCGACACATTGTTTAACGCCGGAAGACCGTCGTACGGTCCAGATCTGAGAAATACAGCTCTAACAGGTTCACGTTGAACTAGTTAGGGTTGGTACTATAGTGAATCCACCAATCGCCCCTGAGGCGAGTGATCGATGACGACAGGTAAAATGCGCGGTTCATTAGTGGGGAGGATGATGATCCCTTTGGTGGAGGATAACCAGATGAGCGATCAGACAAGATGGAGGCCACGCATAAATATGGCCATCGATTCTGAATGAGTGTCAAAAAACAGGAATTTCTTCACTTCTTTCCCTAACATCCAGCCAAAATGCAGAAGTGCAACAGCAAGCGATGGCTAATGACACAGATTTCCCGGAAGAAATCCTGACTCGGATAGAAGACCGATAAGCCCATTTGAGTCCGTCGGCTCTTGTAGAAGCTTCGATGTGCCAACGTTCTCGAAACTTTGATTACGGCCAACATCACGGCCGCACAGAAAAGCCTCAACGTTTTGAGAAACCAAGTGACCATCGTACAAGATCCCGCAAAAAAGGAAACATAGTGTGGTTATCCCTGGGCCGGAACCGATTCCTTCTGCCATGGGATTCATACATGGTAAGTCCTGGCCAGTTCACGTATCTCAACCTTTCTTTGAACAGGGTCCAGATATGTGACCGTTTGTTGGAATGCATAGCCATCCCTGGTCAAGACAACCCCGAAAAAATTCTGTGATGATCCCTGGGGCACTGGATATTTTCTTCGAAACATATGGCTATGCCTGGTAAATTGAATTTCCCGAGGCAAAGACTAAAATACATGGCTTTCAGAACAAAAGCATGGTCATCTGCACATTCCCTGGGAAATTTTAATCCTTGAGGGACAGTATGCCCTGGGTCAAAATTTGTCCCAAGGTGGAGTTTTGTCCTGAGATTCACACATTTCGGTTGATATACGGGGTATTCCTCACGATAGAACTCCCCCGAGGATGGTGATGCCCCAGGAAAACTAATTGTCGCGCAAAACATGTGGCGTGTCCTGAGTGAATAGAATGCCCCAAGAAAGATGATTACTCTGCAAAAAGTGCAACATTCCCTGAGCCAACAGCCATGCCCCCCGGATTAGTGTTATACTTTCTCGCTCTATGGCAATCCCCAAGGACTCAAACCCCCCGAGGATATACGCTTTTCACACTTTAGATGAAAAAATCAGCATGACTAACCTACTTTTCTCAGGAATGGCACGCATAACTTCATTTGATATACATCCCGGAAATGTCCCAGGGATTGCACGCATGATTTCATTTATCTATGTGCGCTCTACAAATTAGCAATGCCCCAGGTATTGCTCGCAATGGGTTTATCCGATATGTGTGCTCTATATCCCAGAAATGCCCCAGGGATATGCGGCTCTACCCTAATTATCCTGTTTGATTCCTTCCAGCTTGAGACTTGTATAAAACAATGAACATCTCAGCCAAACAAACTACTATAATTTCTGATAACCGATGTCCTGGGGAAATAAGATCAAAGCATGCTAGTAGGGTTCCTTGGGACAATCCCATACGCCATGCATTTTTCCGAAAGCCATGCTTTTGGGTGACTTGAGAAAATACCGATAGATATCAGATTTCAAGACATGAAGAAACCCAAGTAGCCTAACTCGAGAGATTTGCAGATACATGAAGCAATTGGTTTCAAGTCGACTTTCTTGAATCACTATATTTCACAAAATTGCTGTCTTAGATAACTACCGGATATATGCGGATCTGTATATGCATAACAACTTGATTAAAAAAACACATGTTTGTTCTCATAATTATCTATTCCTCTGAAGGCCCTCTTTTGAAGAATACTTTTTTGTGAGGAAGCTCATGTGACGGAAATTCTCACCAGAGATTCCTCTTGTGAGGATTTAGCTCACGTGAGTTATTTTTTAGGTTGAATCTTGGCAGACAGGCTCTCCCAGTTAGTTGCTTATATGAGCAATTTCCTCACAGTGTAACGGGCCTGAGCTGTGTATACAGAAAACTTGACCTCGCTAAGTGCGCCACTTGACCTCGTTACATAATCATGACCCTGACCTCGCATAATACAGTAATAATCAGTTGGTAATTGACTTTCAACCTTTCAATCCACTCATTCATTCAGCTCATCAATCAATCAAAGCATGTATAGCTGATTCATAATCAATTAAATAAACAGATAAATTCATATAGAATATAAAGAGATGTTTTACAGAATTTTAAAATATATCAAGATAAAAATATTTAATAATTAATTTTAAATTGATTTTAAATTGATTTTAAATTGATTCTGAATTGATTATAGTAATAAAAATAGATTTAATCTATATATTTAAGTAATTAATAATTGATTGAAAATCAGTTAATAATCAATTCAGTATTATTATTAAATTCAAGAATAATTTCAGTATTAAATTAATTTTGAATTGATTTTGAATTGATTTTAAATTGATTCTGAATTGATTATAGTAATAAAAATAGATTTAATCTATATATTTAAGTAATTAATAATTGATTGAAAATCAGTTAATAATCAATTCAGTATTATTATTAAATTCAAGAATAATTTCAGTATTAAATTGATTTTGAATTGATTTTGAATTAATTAAGAATTGATTGTAGAATTGATGATAAATAATTGAGTGGTTTCAAATTACAAGAAAAGATGTATTAAGCGAGGTCAGGTAGTGGCACGGGCCACATTTGCGAGGTCAGCTTACATAACGAGGTCAAGTGGCGCACTTAGCGAGGTCAAGTTTTCTGCTTCCTGGCCTGAGCTTTGGCTCCTAGTTCCCGATATGGAAGGATTTGTTGGCCCTTACGGCCGTTGCGGTTAGTGATCCCACTAGATCACGTGACCCACCACTATATTATGTTCCTGTAGATAGATCTATCAATACAACCTTCAACTATCCTACAGGATTCTAGGGCTTGGAGCTAGGGCTTCAGGCGCTAGCTCTACATAATAGTCCCACTGAGGGGATTCTGTTTCTCTTTTCTCTTCCCTTCCTCAGCTTTGTATCTTAGTTATTAGGTAGCATAGTGCTTCTCAGCATCACTATAACGTGCCGTTACACACAGCAGATTCCTCTTGTGAGGATTTCTATCATAGGAGCTCCTTTCCAAGTAATTACTCTTCTGTTATCAATCGCCATAATATTTAATGTATGTACAGTAAATCACGTATCTTCCCGTCTACACGTAAAGGCTCTTATATTTCAAATTATAGTATAAGAAGATAGTGCTGTTACAAAGTGACTCCTAAGAACTTCCGTTTGAATCAAGTTGCCTTCTGTGACTAGAAGCGTCTTAAGTAGAGTCACTTGAGCGGTGCAGGCGCTTGGAAGGATCCTCATGTTCACCCAAACCTCCTAGGAGCTATATAGGACGACTGGTGGATGCTGGGGCGAGTATTGGATGCTAGGATGCGATCGGTCGCTTGTGGAGCGAATGGCCAAGAAAGATGCGCGAAACCGACACGCGACCTTCTACGACAAGGACCTCAAGCCGATCGCCCCCGTGCAGTGCTTGGATGCGGCGATCGAAGATGGCACGAACACCGTCTTCATGGCAATTGGCGGGGAGTTGAACGTCGATGAGAACATGGTGGCGTCTGCGTCTCAGGTGTTGGACATTCGAAAACGGCTGAAATCTAGGGCGTGCGAGGACCCAAGACTCGAGAATCAACTAGCGGAGGAAGAGGAAGAGCTATAAAAAAATATTGTCCTAAGTGGTATTCCTAGGTCTCCATCTTGCTTTTCCCGCCTCTCTTTTCTTCTCTGGCGCTGTTCCCGGTGCTCTATTTTCTTTGCTTGTATATCTTGGCTCGCGCGCTTCCAACACTTTGCCTCGCGGCCGCTCTCATCCACCGTATCTGAATCCTGCTGCTTACCCGACAATTTTCACTCATGGGAGCACTCTCTTCGGCTGATGATGGCGGGATATCTAGAATATCGCCCGTGGCAGACTCCTCCAGCCCGCTTGCAGCAGGTTGGGAAACCTTTCCAAAGAACGCAAGATACACGCAGCGTCGGACAAATAGGCCCGTGACAGGCTCAGTCATATTCCCTTTACCGGTGTGAAGATCATCAAGAAAGAGATACGGGCTACCTTGCCGCTGGCAGCTCTCGACCAAGGTGATGAACTCGCTGGCCCTGCCAATGTAGCGCGTGTGCGGCCCAAACATCTAAGGGCATCACAGACCTGTTATTGCCTCAAACTTCCACCGACTTGAGTCGATAGCCCCTCTAAGAAGCCAGTAGGCTGTCCGCATCGAGCCTTAATTTTATTTACGATATCAGCGAACAACTTATAAATTGATTCAGTCTTGCAGCTTTGTGCTTCCCGAAAAAACTGAGTGATTTGATCAACTAGGAGGTCGAACTTTTCCGGGAAATATCGATATTGACCCGGTTTTCGAGCTTTGAGCAGAGCGTTTCGAGCGATAAGCCTATCAGGGTGGCTCCGAGCAATGTTTCTATCTGGGGCGACTTGAAGCCAAGTTCACGCGCAAGGGCGTCGTAACAAAGACAGTGAATTTTCGTGTAACATGAATTCCAAGTATGCGTTGCTCAAGTGCGGCTTAATATCGCATACTCAACAAAATGGGGACACCCACACGAAAAGCATTTGAATTGCCTATCCGCTACTTCGAGAAGTACTGGCACAAAAAATCCAAGGCGATATATGGAGATGAAGCTTCACACTTGGAAAGCCATTTGCCTACCGAACAGGGCACGGGATTTCAAAGGCTATGAACAAATGATACACGAAGATGCAATGTTACTATCGGTGTGATCATTACAAGATCCCAGAGCACTTTACTGCCGGCTTGCCAGACAGAAACTATACCTCGGGTTTTGGAGAATTTTTCTTGTTTATGCGGTGCGACAGCGTACTATGACAAATCCAACGCAGAAATAGCGACATTATCTCGCTTTGAACTGTGAGTACCCCAAGCAGGTTTATACTATGAGGTACAATCCACCAGGCACAGTTGCACAAAGATCCTCTGACGATACTGGATGCAAAGATGAACCAGCGGTATAACCAGATTGCACATCTACTTATAGTAAAGTATTGCCCACCTCGTTACCTTCCTCAACTTTCGTGACGCCTCTATTTCTCTCGTGTCTTTTAGTGTCCATATAGCCTGTGTTTCATACTTTCAAGAAGAATTACATATTTGTTCCAAGGTCTTCGCGATATAATGCTAAGACACTTTACCACCGATGCCCTGGAAGGGTTGTGCACTGAAGACCAACTTGATCTGTTGAATTCTGTGGATACTCTCCGTTCACAGGGCATCAGTCATTATATCTCGCTGCCACAGATTATTGTGTGTGGCGATCAATCCTCAGGAAAGAGTTCGGCGTTGGAAGCCATCTCTGGCGTTTCCTTTCCCGTTAAGAGCAACCTGTGTACTCGATTTCCAACCGAGTTAGTGCTCCGCAAGTGTCCGCAGATAGGAGTGAGCGTATCAATCGTCCCCCATGGCTCCCGAAGTGAGTCCGAACAGCGTTCGCTTGAAACCTTTCGTGAAACGCTCGATAGCTTCGAAGGCTTTCCGGCACTGGTCGAGAAAGCTAAGGCGGCCATGGGGATCTCGACACATGGGAAAGCCTTCTCTAAAGATCTCCTTCGCGTCGAAGTTTCGGGGCCCGATCGTCCGCACCTTACAATCGTGGATCTCCCCGGTCTCATACATTCCGAGACCAAAAAGCAGTCTGCATCGGATGTTGAACTGGTACAGGATGTCGTCCGCGCCTACATGAAAGAACCACGAAGCATTATCCTCGCTGTGGTATCCGCCAAAAATGATATTGCCAACCAGATTGTACTGAAACTCGCGCGTGAAGTCGATGTATCAGGCCATCGGACGCTAAGGGTCATTACAAAACCTGATACGCTGGCTGTCGGGTCGGATAGCGAATCAACCTTTGTCGCTCTCGCAAAAAACCAAGAAGTTGAGTTTCGTCTTGGATGGCATGCCTTGAAAAACATGGACTCTGATAAGGGGTCACCATCCTTGGCCGAACGGGATTCCGAGGAAAGGCTATTTTTCTCTCAGGGCATTTGGGAAGACATGCCCCGGTCGAGTTTAGGCATCGATAAATTACGGGGAAGACTGAGCAAAGTTCTTCTAGGTCAGATTGCAGCGGAGTTGCCCAGCCTGATCGAAGAAATCAATGCTCAGATTGACACTGCACACCGCGAGTTAGAGAAACTTGGAGAGCCTCGGGCATCATTGCAGGAGCAAAAATCTTATCTCCTCCAGATTAGCCAATCCTATCAGTCTTTAGTTAAAGCAGCCGTCGATGGTACTTACAACGAGCCCTTTTTCGAAGAAACCACCGCGAACATTGGCTATCAGAAACGTATACGTGCGGTGATACAGAATCTCAATCAAGATTTTTCAGATAAAATTAGCCAATACGGCAACTATCGCCAAATTGTGAAGAACGAGAGTACTGAATGCCTGAACGAGCACCAAGTTTATATCACTCATGGAGGATTCGTTCGTCACATAGAAGCACTTTTGAAAACGTCGAAGGGCAGGGAGCTACCTGGAACTTTCAATCCTATGATTGTGAAAGATCTGTTTTTTGAACAATCAGCTCCGTGGGAGAAACTTTGTCGCGAGCATATCACGATGGTCTGGGAGGCTGCGAAAGACTTTCTCCACCTGGCCATTACCCATACTGCTGATGCTACTACCACAAAAAAGGTTTTGCAAGACGTGGTAGAGCCTTCTTTAAACGAGTTGCTGAAAATGCTGAACAGCAAGACTAGTGAGCTGCTTGCACCACACAGAAGAGGCCACCCAATTACTTACAATCACTATTTCACGGAAACATACCAGAAGACACGGAACGAACGGCAGAAAGCCGAGTACGCCACAATCTTAAAGGACTTCTTTAGCATATCTTCTCTCGACACTGAATACAAGGAACTACGCTCCGACGATAGCTTACACCAGCTTCTTGATTCCCTTGTCGAACGCACGGAGCCGGACATGAGATTTTTCGCCGCTAGTGAGGCCTTGGATTACATGATGGCTTATTACAAGGTGACTCTCAAAGCTTGCAACCATCCGGCAGAGGTGACTCTCGACTAACTGCGGCATAGGTTGCTTTAAAACGGTTCATTGACGATGTTGCGATCGAAATTATTGAAATGAAGCTCGTTTCGGCACTGGGTGCCATACTCTCTCCCATTACTGTGTTCAATATGCCAGACGATATCGTAACGCGGATCGCAGGCGAGTCAGAAGAACACCGTGCTGAACGAGAGGAATTGAACAAACAGCTTGACATCCTCGCAAAAGGAGCTTTTACGTGCAAACAATTCATTGGCAACCGTGGTCTTTGTATGAAGAGCATTCCATTCCGAACATATTTGGTATCTAATGGGTTGATATAGTGAATGGCAACGAGCCCTCTCCCGGTCCCCAGCCTATCCGTAACCGATGTTGACTATCCATCGGAACACCAGGTCACTACGGTTCATTCGCTAGAGGACAATGTCGAATGTTTGACCAATAACTCTGATTGCCATATCATGTCAGAGTCTGGTAGCATTTGCTCGGAATTCGATTAGTATATCGACTATCCTCTTGCAGAACTCATACCATATCATCGTCGGCTATATCACCGGTTACGATAGGGCAATTGTCAAGTAGTTAAAGATCTGGAGGGAATTTTACAGCAACTGCACAGTATACAGGCACCAACAACGGCTTTGATTGGTGCTGTTGATGGTGGGCCCGCAGTCGATGTTCGCGCCCGCCACGCTGAATTCGGTGGACCATTTAGGACCGAGTCTGAGTTCAATAATTGGCTTGTCTCTCTAATCCACCCGGAATCGAAGCAGTATCGCGGTCTATTCTACATCGATACAATCCAAAATTGCCTGAGAAAATATAACCACCAACTAAGATTTGCACATGGTGACCTTGGGCTCCACAACATCCTCGTCAGTGAAGACGGCATGGTTACAGCAATTATCGACTGGGAGTTCGCGGGCTGGTATCCAGAATACTGGGAGTATATCAAAATGATCCAGTTTTCACGCGATCCTGCCTTCAGGTATTTTGCGAGGGGCTGTTGGAAAGATGAAACAGGGGACCAGGTGTTTTTTGATGAGGAATATGTTCTTGATCAGATGCTGGACAGCCAGATCAGGCATGGGGAACGGGTTCTCAAACGGCCTCGTTAGCTGAAGGTAGACGGAACCAGCGTCCTGTAAAGCCGACTGGAGAGGCGTTTCAATATGAGATCGAAGTGGCTTTAGGCCACGTGCCAGACGAATCCGAGATCAGATAGAATGGTGAAGGATTTGAGTAGTGAATGAAGTCGCTATTCTCGATGATATCAAGATTACATTATGGAAGTAGACGAACTCGTTCAAATTTATTAGAGATTTATGATTAACTAGCACGCGATAAATAGCATACTTTGGTCGAGAATCCAGCTCAACCAAACACAACAGCAACACAGTCGAGATCAAACAGCCTGGGAAGCCTAGCCCCTGGCCCCCGCGAGCATCAGAGACTTAGATACCTCGGATTTCGAGTGACGGTTCCGTGCTTTTGCTCTGCATGGATCAGGAGGTCCTTCAGGGTGTCAAGCGTTACTTTACAGGTCTTACAATCGAGCTTCTTAAAATCCTTCAGGTGCTTTCGCTCAAAGTGTTTGGTTATACTGCCCGCATGGTAGGAGTGTATACGTTCCTGGTGCTTCAACTTCTCGTTCTGAAGACAGAGGAAACACATCGTTGGTCGCTTGGCTTCACTGCACTTGATGATAGTCAAGCGAATAACTTCCTCGGGTACTGGTGGCTTATTTACCGACGGTTGTGCATCCTCTCTGTCTTGAGTCATTTTGACGTCCGGGCTTCGGTACTGGCGCAGGGAGCCCTCCTGGACCCCGCAGTATGATGTGATTGCATTGATCGCGTTGATTCGCCTCTGCTGCTCTGCATCCCAAGAGTCCCTCGGGAGCGTTAGGAGGGCATCGATGAGAACTATCATCTCTGGCATCATATATTCCGTCCGCTCCAGCACACTCTTCATCGCTTCGTCGACTATCTGGCCCTCAAGCTGGCGTCTACTGTCAATGACCGGTTGTTCTTCATTGTATCTCTGCAGTTTCTCCCTCTTCAGCTTCACCCTTGCGTGCTGCTTGTCATTGTTCAGGCGCCTCTGGGCTTCTCTGCACCGGTCTTCCAACGCATCACGCTTCTTTCCAGGAGCCGTGGCGTCGCGCCTCCGCTTGAGCTTCTTGAGCAATTTTGCAAGTTTTCAGATCTTCGGCTGTTCATTGACTGATCGGGACTCTTGGGCTGTGAGCTTCCAGGGTCGACGTGGGTCAATGGATAAGCTCATTGAGTTTAGATTGAGGTAGTCATCTGCTTTTGGGTCGAGTCCACGGTAATTCCGGTAGGTGTTTACGGTTATGTTACGATTCTGATAGTGTTTTACGTAGGTGCTGATGTTGGAGTGTTTCAGAATCTGGTTCTGCATTGAATCGCTCACGTCCGCTGCATGAATGTTAGAGGCGGTGGATGTTGGGAGAAAGCATATGGTGTGATGGGATCTTACGATTTTCATTCAATTTGTTTGCGGCACCATTGCGCAATACATATGGCTTGACCGTTTGCTCAAACCCCGTCAGCTCACCGCCCTTCTTCATTCGATAGCTCACCTTCCTGGGCGAGAGCCGCACCGCCTGGAGTAGCTTGACGGTCTCCCCATCACGGATAGCCTCGCAGAACAGGAACTTATCTCTCAGGTCCTCCCGCAAGAGCAGCTTTTGCTGATTTAGCCCTTTAAGAACATCCAATCTATACAGGCTCTCAGGTGAGGTGATATTGGGGTCTTTGAATGCTTTGAAGTGAAACAGCATACCGAGGAGGAAGACGTGGGGGCTGAGTATCAGCGATGGATCGTAGATGATCTCTGGAAGAGGGAAGGTGTCGCTTCCCGGTGAGACTCAGTCAGCTGAGGGTCTGTGGCGTTCGTTGCTACCAGGGTCAACAAAGGCCTACCTTGCTTTCTTGCCCAAAAATCTCTTCGTATAGTCGAAGGTGACCTTGACCACCAGGCGGGGCCGTCCAAACACGGCGTCTCTCACCAGAGTTAGCTCCAGATCCCCCAAACGGATGTCCAGCATCGCGGACGGTCGATTCGACGTGTACCCGGCGAAGTGGCAGAATAGGATCAACTGGATACGCAGATACCCAACGAGGAACAGCATCTCGGTTGTTGCGAGGAGTACCCGGCAAAACTCCGCCAGATCCTCTACATACATTGTTCCCTTCTCTATTGCCTCCTCGCTGAGGCCTTTTTCTTTTGCGATCAACCTGAGGAGCTGTGCTGAAGGTCAGTTCTCGGATTCTCGGGTGGAGAGGATAGGCGAATAACTTACATCCTGGGATTTGGTGATGATCTCCTGGTCGATGCTCTTGCCGGCCCCGATTTTGTACACCATCTGGAACCATTTCCAGAAAGTCTGCAGGGAGCTGAGGCGCTTGATCCCCCTTCGTCTTCCGTTCTTCCCAAAACGTCGGTCACAGACCCAGGAGAGAAACGAGTAGAGGGTCCGAATGGTAATGTCATGATAGGCCTCGGTGACGTCCCAGCCGACATAGCTGCAGTGTCTGGTAGGAAAGACGGGATGTAAGTAAAAGTTGATAATGCGGCTCCCTGTTAGGAGGAGGGTGGCTTACTCTTTCCAGTGCTCTTCGACCCAGTCAAGTCTCGCCTGTGTGTTTGGACTGTAACGCAGTTGTCGAAGCTTGGATGTATCGAGGCTTGCTGCCAGCTGCAGATAATATTCGGGCGGATGTTCTTCCTCTTGATTCTGCAGCCACTCTCCGTCGTCGTCACTGTTCTCGTCGTCGCTTATGTCGCTGTCGGCACCAGCCTTGGTATCTTCATCGCAGCCCGAGACAGACGAGCAGTCCGTCTGGGAGTCCTCAGCATCCGAGAAGCAGCCACTGTTGTAGCCGCTATCTGGATCGCTATCTGACAGGCGGGGATCATCTTCACCTCTACGGATCATACTTCTCTTCCGGGGACTGAGAAGGACAACGAAGACAGGAAGAAAAGTAAAGTATCGAGCGAAGCAACAGAGATAGACAAACTAAAGCAGTCTGATAGAAAATGGTGTATAGAGGCAGAGCTAGAGAGTAGTGAATATCAGAGTTGGAGGAAAGACTGCAGCTGGTGACCTCTTTCACAGAAGGAGAGAGGGATGGGCGATTGCCCACCCTCAATTTGGACCTGGGCGAGCAAAGGGAAGGCCATTTTCGTCCTGTTCTAAAGAGTTGTGATGGAACCACCATACGGGCGATTGAACTTGCGACATGAAGGGAGAAGCGTTACGATCAGACAGGAAAAAAGTTGGAATGGTGCTTGGCGCAACAGGGGTGAAGGTGCGTGGGCGGTACAGATGCGTGGTGCGTGGAGGCAATTCCGGCGAGGGAACGGCCATAAGCGACCGTGCGGGAAGGCCGCTTTCGGCCATTTGCACGCCAGATAAGTAGACTGGCCGCCGGGACCATGAATTTCACGTTTGGTCCCATTTGGTCTGGTCCCATACATTTCTTGGCGTGAATCCCGCTGGGACTGGCTATCAAAAAAACAGGTAAAGTGACTATATATCAGATCTTAAAATGGAACCATGACTTGAAAAAATTGAGAAAGTGGTCTCATTTGGTCTCATTTAGTCCCATTCTTAGTATAAAGTTACTATTTTTAGACATTTTAAGGTTTTTTTAGACTATTTTTAATTTTTTAAAAAGTAACACTTTTTGATAACACTCAAATAAGATTTAAAGTCATTTAAAGTAATAAAAATAATTTAAATTGAGAAGTGAAAATCATGATCTCATTTGAAAAATGTGATAAGAGTAGATAGTAAGTCTCACTGAGACAGTATGAAACTACTATTTAATGTTAAAACTGTGTAATGGAAGCAGTTGAATTGATAATGAGACTATCAAAAAATCTGATTCTGGTCTCAGACACAGTCACACGGTCAGTCTACAGATAAGTATGTATAAATAGACTAGTCACTAGACTGACTGTGTGACTGTGTCTGAGACCAGGATCAGATTTTTTAATAGTCTCATTACCAATTCAACAGATCTCATTACATGATTTTAACATTAAATAGTAGTTTTATACTGTCTCAGTGAGACTTACTGTCTACTCTTATCACATTTTTCAAATGAGATTATGATTTTCACTTCTCAATTTAAATTATTTTTATTGCTTTAAATAACTTTAAATCTTATTTAAGTATTACTAAAAAGTGTTACTTTTTAAAAAATTAAAAATAGTCTAAAAAAAATCTTAAAATGTTTAAAAATAGTAACTTTATACTAAGAATGAGACTAAATGAGATTAAATGAAATCACTTTCTTATTTTTTTTAAGTCATGATTTCATCTTAGAATCTGATATATAGTTACTTTGCATGTTTTTTTAATGACTAGTTTCAGCGGTCAGTAGACTGACCGCTGAAATCATGAATTTCATATTTGATTTCATTTGATCTGATTTCATACATTTCTTGGCATGAATCTCACTAAGACTAGTTATTTAAAAAACATGTAAAGTGACTATATATCAGATCTTAAAATGAAACCATGACTTGAAAAAAATAAGAAAGTGATTTCATTTGATCTCATTTAGTCTTATTCTTGATATAAAGTTACTATTTTTAGACATTTTAAGATTTTTTTTAGACTATCTTTAATTTTTTAAAAAGTAACACTTTTTGATAATACTTAAATGAGATTTAAAGTCATTTAAAGTAATAAAAATAATTTAAATTGAGAAGTGAAAATCATGATCTAATTTGAAAAATGTAATAAGAGTAAATAGTAAGTTTCACTGAGACAGTATAAGACTTCTATCTAATATTAAAATCATGTAATGAGATTAGTTAAATTGATAATAAAACTATTAAAAAATCTGATTCTGATCTTAGACACGGTCACACAGTCAGTCTATGTATAAAAGATAATAACTGATCACTGATCAGTGATATATATAAGAAGAATTATTATAAGAGAAAATAATCTTCTTTCTTAACTTAGTTATAATTTTAGTACTAACTCAGATTGAATATTGTATAAAAGTAAATAAATAATCTTAATTAATCTCTGTTATATTTCTTAAAATATATTATTATTGTAAAAGAGAGTATTATCAGATTATATTATTAGATAATATTATTAAAAATATATTAATATTATAAATATCAATGTTGAAAAAATGTTAATATATATATATTATAGTGATTTGTAAATTATAATAGTGAAATATATATATATATATATTATTTCTGATATTGATAATTAATTACAACTTATATAATAATTTTTGAAAACTTAAAATTAATTTCAATTATTAACTAATAGTTATGAACTTACAATTAAATAATATAAAAAGAAAAAAACTTTTTCTACTTATTATCTTTCTTCTCTTTCTTATTCTTTGTATTATTCTTTATAATTTATTTCTTATTCTTATTCTTATTCTTCTTCTTCTTATCTGAGATAATGATCATCTCAAAATCTCGCTTTATTATCTTCTTAAAGAAGAGTTTCTACTGCTCACTCTCAGTTAGATTAATCTGTACTCTAAAATTCTGCATTTTTTAATCTACTGTCTCAGATTATATCTCAGTGATAAGTAGATTAATATACTCAGAGATAGACTAATTATATAACTGTGTCTGAGACTAGAATTAAACTTTATAATTATTATATTATCTAAAAGTATTACTTCTAATTATAATTTGTATTTATTACATTGATTTTAAATCATTTTATTTTAAATATTAAAGATCTTAGATTTACTTTTTAAATAAAAATCTAGTCTTATATAAAAAATATATTTAAATTCTTAGTTATATTTTCATTCTGATCTTATTATTAAAAATAATATTAAATAAGATTACAAAATCTTTTCTCACTTACATAATATTATAACATAGTACTTATTTGTTGAAAATTTAATAGAGAGTATTATTAAATATTATTACTTTTCTAAATATAGATTATAATTTATATAATTTCAATTATAAAAAAAATAAAAAATATAAAAAAAAATAAAAAATAAAATAAAAACAATAAAAAATTATAATAAAAAAAAGAGAAGAAAAAAAGAGAAAGAAAAGAAAAAAAATAAAAAAAATAAAAAAATAAAAAAAAATAAAAAAAAATCAAGATTATAGAGCTATAGTACTTTTAAAATACTTACTTTTCAGAGTCTTTATAATATTTCTTATTAATTATGTATTTCTCATAGTAAGAGTAATATGACTGTGATGAGTTATTATCTTAATATTATCTAATAAATAATCAGTATATATCTGTAAAAATGTGAATAATTAGAGAATATACACTTAAAAAGTGTGATCAGAGTGAACTCTGCTATCACTTAAATAGTATCAAGAGTAGAATACTGAAATCAATGATTTCTCTCATTAATTTCACAGATAAGATGTATAAAGATAATTTTGAGAAATATAAGATTCTCTGACTTTTGATAAAAAGAGATCTCATAGAGAGACTCTATTTTCATAATATCAGAGACTGAGTGTTATTAAAAAGCATTACTTTTATATAATATATATACACTTACTTCAGTGATTCACTCTCTATGCATATAAGTGAGAATTGTGACTTTTTCATATTATACAGCTCTTATTGAGATGCTGATACTAATGTGTAACTCATACAGCTTCTCAATTCAGTATATACTGTATATATACAGCTCAGTGTACTAAGACTGTATTGATTATTATAATCTGATATAATACTTACTTTTCTTATACCATGTTCATTTAAAAGAGAAGAGGGAATGTGACTGCTGTTTTATTAAGAAGAAGTGAATAATTGATTATTATAAGAGATAATTTAATTTCTGCTATATTTATTAAAAATTTGATTAGTCTATACTCTTCAATTTGAGAATTTCTGAGAGTGTTTTAATAGTTTTCATACCAGCTTGAAATTAGTGATAATTTGAAGAAGAGAAAAGAGAGAAGAAAGAAATGAAAATAACTTATCTTTATAATATGAAAACAGAGAATTGCTGCAATTATTTACTCTAATAATAAAGATCTGTTTTCTGCATGTATTTCTGATACAGATTATATAATAACTATATATAAAGAATATCAACAGTATATGTATTAAATAAAGATAATATTGCTATATAATACTATAGCTGTTTTTATACATCTCTGAAAGCTGTTAATATTTTCTTTAAGTCTCTTTATATTTGATAAGTTAGTAATATATTTCAATACACTTTCTCTTTCATTATTATTATTATTATTATTATTATTATTATTATTATTATTATTATTATTATTATTATTATTATTATATTATTTCTAACTGTCTCTTCTGTCTTTATCTCTCTTTAACACTTACTGAAATTAATTATATCATCTCTTTTTAAATATTCTGTGATTCTGTAGATCATCAAGACACATGAGTATTATCACAGATTGAAGAAAGAGAAGAAGAAAGTATTTAAGTAAGAAGAGACAGATTATAAGATATATTATAATACCTTAAAAAGACTCTGTAAAAAAGTAGAATAATAATGATTTTAAGTAACACTTCTAATGAATTTAGACTGAACTAAGTATAGAAATAATATAAATGATACTACATGTAAAAGAATGAAAAAAAAGACAGTGAAGAGTTTTAAACAGTAGTAATAAAATCAGAAGAAGTTCTGAGAATAATTTAAGATTAAGATAAAGAGAGAGAGAGAGAATAAGAGTATTACTATAAATAAGTAATAGCAGAAGAAGATTGAGAGAGTGTTGAAGTAAGAGATAAAGAAGTTAAAACTGATAAGTTTTTTATTTATTAAAAGATAATAATTTTTAATAATATTTCTGTTCTCTAATTGATTAGCAGAAGCTGATAGAGAAGAAGAGAATTAAGATAATATTCAGATCTCAAATACACTTCATAATTCAGAATATTAAGAAGATAGCTCTAATCTCTGAGTATATCAATCTGCTTATTACTGAAATGAAACCTGAGATAGTAGATTAGAAAATGCAGAATTTTGCAATACAGATTAATCTGACTGAGAGAGAGCAGTAGAAACTCTTCACTGAGAAGACAGCAGAGAAAGATTTTAAGATAATTATAATTTCAGATAAGAAGAAGAAGAGAAAGAATAAAAATAAGAAGTAAATTATAAAGAATAATAAGAAGAATGAGAAAGAGAAGAAAGATAATAAATAGAAAAAGTTTTTTTCTTTTTATATTAATTAGTTATAAGTTTATAATTATTAATAATTGAAATTAATTTTAAGTTTTTAAAAATTATTGTACAAGTTGTAATCAATGTCAGAAATAATATATATATATATATTTAACTATCATAATTTATAAATCACTATAATGTATAAGTATCAACATTTTTTCAATATTGATATTTATAATATTAATATATTTTTAATAATATTATTTAATAATATAATTTAATAATACTCTCTTTC